TAACCCGGAAAAGCCCTACTTTTGTCCCCGCAAGAGTCAGTCTTTCAAGCTTGATTGACCAATAAGATAAGAAGAGTCTCCTACAATCATACTAGTAGACCGGTAATCCCTTTATGGTGGAATCTTCCTACATTCAAAAACCGAGGGATAGCCTAAGTAATGTTCCAAATCACTGATGTCTGGGAAATCGAAACAAGACAGAAACATCAGTACAAGAAGGCGGACGGTTAGGTGAAAAGAAGCTCAACTACTAGACCAAGACGAGGAAATGCCTTTCTCCTCGAGGAATGCCCCACACAGGTATGCCCGCTAAAGCTCAACTAGCTTCCATTGAAAGAAAGGTGAAAGAGGTGGAGCTTTATCCTTAGCTTGAGAGTGAACTTTGCTTTCTTAACCAGTCGTGAAATTAGGCGTTTAGAGATCGACACTGAGTTAGTAAAGAACTTTGAATCACTAAAGTGCTGCTTTCTTCTTTTACAGAGGATTGGAATACCCCTTGAATTTAGTTCTCCTTTTGAAAAGAGAAGTGGAAGCCAGTAGTATATTCTGCCCTTCCTGGCCTCCCAAAGCCCTTAGCTGAGAAGCTGCTTAAATGAGAAAGTCTCACACGTGGGGATATCTAAAAGAATGCGATAGAACACCTTTTCAGACATCAGGAGATGCTTCAAGCCAATCGGGCGGGTAAGCCAAGGGCATGGGTGAGTGAACTCGATGTTAGAAGGCTGCCGTATAAGTAAGTAGAGCCTTTCAAAGAATTGTTGAAGCTGCCGGGCATCCACGTAGGACCTGTTGCGAAGTCTTCCCAACCATACCATAAAAAGAAGTCAAACAGTGTAGCTCCTACTCCTAAAAGGCAAAGGGAATAGAGCGATTGTTGCAATCAGAGAAGCCTACCCCGACTGTGCATCGAAAAGTTCGTCTGTCTAAGCATGACTGATTTGATGTGGCAACCTCGATCTCTAAATCTTCCATCTCTATGGCGTGGATAAACCCGAAGCTAGTCTTTTGTGATGGATTGGATTACGCAAGAAAGGTTCTTATTGCCCGCTCCGCTACTAAATACCAAACTCACTTGGAGAAAGCTACTAGGTCGCCCAAAGGAAGGGGCAGGACAAAAACTTTACCATTGCATGAACTAGTCGAGAAAAAAGGGAAGAAAGCCTAAGCGAGCGAGACAAGAAGGAATTAAGGAGCTATTCCCTTAGTGACAGTAGCATCGATCGAACATTCAGACATTGTACTCCTCCTTATAAGGACTGGGAAACAAAGAGTCACATTCCCGGATAAACAGACAGTTTCAGAAGATATATCAACCATGGAAGGTCTCCTGTAAGCCAGAAGGTTCTACTAAGTGGTATAAGTCGCCTTGAATGGTTAAATGGGAAAGAAAGCTTGAATTTGCATATAATGCCTTTGTTCAGACGGATCGAACTCTTGACTTGGCAACTGAAGGAGCAAAGACGAAGACAGAGTTGTAAGTGAAAGAATAGTGAAACCCGAGTGAAAGAAGCAAACTCACTGACAGAGCTTTACCTTGTCTTTGAAGGAAAAAATAGCGAGAGGAGGAAAAAAAGAATTATTGGTCTTTACAGTCAAAAGAGTGAAAGAAGGTGAAGGATCAGATCAAGAATGATTCCTTCTTAAAGAAGAGTGAAAGAGTTCAATCCTCAAAAATAGCCCAAAAAATAGGGTAAAACATCAATTTTAATAAAAAAAATAAGGGAGAGATACACTTTTTAATCCTCAAAATAGGAAGAGGATAGGATCATTCTGGTTTTTTGAGTCTTTACAGTCGAGTTCCAGAGGGAAAGAAGGTCAAATGGACTCTTTTATCCCCAAAAATAGGGTAAAAATACACTTTTCATCCTCAAAATCAGGGAGAGATAGAATGAATCTTGAGGATTTACTGACAGTGAACGATCATTGATTCTTCTTTCGTCTTGACTGACAGTGAACGAGAAAGAATGTTGAGCATTGACTGACAGTTCACTCTCATTAATCTTTCGTCTTGACTTAATAATTACCTATAGCCCTCAAAATCAGGGAAGGATAGAATTTGATCCCTAAAAATAGACAGAAGATAGAATTTGATAATTCATGGTCTTTAACGAAAAAGAGTGAAATCAGTCAAAGGTTCAGTAGGTCAGTTCGTAAACTCTTTCGTTTACCGTTCAAGAATCAATAGGTTCAGTAGCTCAGGGAAGGATCAGAGTCTTTGTTTACTGTTCAAGAAGGCTCGTTCAGTAGTTCTGTCTCATTCATCTTTAGTCTTTCCTTCCAGTTCAGGATAGGTGTAGGAGTTCAGTCCGTTAGAGAGAAAACAAACGCCAATAGCCTTCCTTCCTTCTTAAGTAACCAATGGGGAGAGGGAAGAGGTTCATATGCCTCGTTCAAGAGCTACTTCACCTATTTACCTCGTTTCATCAGGTCAGGGAATATCTATCGGTTCAGGTTCATGAGTTCAGTTCGTTCAGTTTCATCTTGTCTTGCTTTTCCTATTTACTAATTATTATTCTTTCACTTACAACTCGGATAGTCGTTTTCGCTTTCTTCTTTCCTTCCTAATTCGTTTATTCTTTCACTGTTCCGTTTCATTCTTCTTTCGTTTCTTCTTTCGTTTCTTCTTTCTTTCTGGTTCAGTAGCTAATTCATTTCCTCTTTCCTTCCGGTTCAGTCTCTCTCTTAAGGGAGCGCCGATCAGTGTCCTTTTGCCTCTGAGCCGTAAGCACTCGCTGCCCAAGAAGAAGTAGAAAGTCGGTCTTCACTCCTGCCCTAAGAAGCAGGGCCCACTCCGTCCAAAGCTTCAACTAGCTCTCTGGCTGGCTAAGCAGGTTCAACCCCCAACTCCAAAGGCTGGTTCAACTCCTGCTTGATCAGATGCAAAAGTTGTATATTCTGGTTCCCCAGGATTTCAACAACCTTGATGCCCAAAGTTTGAGATTGACCGTCTGCTTCTTCCTAAACATCGGCTCTTCAAGCTGGAGCAGGAATTATCCCGGTCGACAAATGTGAGAATTAGTGAGTTAGGAGTTGTGCCTTAATCTTCCGAAGTTCAGGTCTCTCCACTTATGTTATGGCATAACCGATCCTCAACGTTAGCAAGCCTTGCTATTCGGATGAAAAGAATGTCTGTCATCCTAATGAAAGCCGGATTCCTTCCCTCAAGGTTTGTTTACCTATCATGTCACTCAAAGATGAATCCTAAAGAAGAAGGAAAAACGTCAGCCCTGCGCTTATGGCGGAAGAGGAAGGCAAATAGTCAAGTCAAAGCTGGAAAGCCAAAGTGAGGCTTAACTTATTTAGGTAGGAGTGGGGCGTAGCAATTAGCCAGTCTAACCTAGCCATTTAGATAATCATTCCTAATCCATTCTTCTAGTTCTATTCTTCGCAAATTCCAATCGAATGTTAACAGTTAAGCTGTCGCACCTCTTGCTTGCTTGACTGATTAAGGTTCAGCTTTTAGTTGATACGATACCTCTCTAAGACAAGACCGGATTTTTCACATGCAGTTGGTGTAGTGAGAGACCCTTCCCCCAAGACTAGAATCAGGAAGAGCGGATCTTGTCACTTCTGAACTTTTCTTTTGATACCAACAGGCAATACAGCACTTTAACTGCATTCGTGGTGACAGCAATCTCGCACGGACCACCAGGCTCATGTGTCCCCAGGTTTTTTCCCTCTACAGCATCGCAACTTCGCACATGCATAGGTGATAGTGAGATCCTGGGCCAAAGACCATACTTTCTTTTCAGCCCAACTCTGTCTCAATGCCCTCTTGGCAAGATAAGCCATCAGTCAGCTGTCCAATGGTTGGATCACAGTCAACTTCCCAATCCGCGTATCCCTCAAGCCCTCATACTCTCATCCTATGGGTCGTTATAAACCATGCCAGAAAGATGACTTTCCTGCCGCTCACTTTGCAAAGACACTGCAACTGAGCACTCAACCCTCTCTGAATCATTCATGTTATCAGTCGTCAGGCTGTGTAAATTGTAAATCCTGACTTTCAGAAGTAAGCAAGCGCTAAAAAAAAGTCAACCATGCCCTCGCCTAGCCCTCACTTCAATGGGCCAATCAATGCGCTACGCTGGCAAAAGGGAATGGCGAACAACCGAACCCTTGCTAAGACCATTTCCATTTTGTTCTCAACAGTTCTAACCCCCTGGGGGAGACAAGCTACCTTTAGCTCCACCTTATTCTCGAAAAAGACTAGCAATTTGTTAGCAGCGTCACTCGGTCACGTATGGGGCACGCCCCTGTACATCTTACTTTCTTTAGGTCTCTGTCTCCTCAAATTCAGCCTAGCTCAATGCTAGATAGCTCTTCCTCAACTTACACTACTGACAATCACATCAATTTGCTAAGGTCGAGTTTGTTCAACCTTAGACGAATGTGGTACTTGACTTCTGTCTATTCCCATGACACCCTAACTTCTTTTCCCGCCAATTCGGGTTTAGGCAAGGTCTGCCTAGTCCTCCCCTATTCAGCCGTAACAAAGACCCCTATTCAGTCAGAGAGCAATTCCCTCCGCCATACTTCTTTTTCAGTTCTGTCTAGCATTGGTCTTCTTACGGACCAACATCAGAGCTCCTTCATACCGCCCCTTCCTTCTTCCACTCCCGCCTTTAGGTCTTGGTGGAGGTTTGGGAAAGTTTGATCCATGGATGACTATCTGAGCGGAATTGCTCCTCTTCGCCCGCCCGCCTGCAAGCAGATCTTCTCGAGCTGCCGCTTCCTCGAACCCGTTCTGCCCTTTCCCGAGAGCCATCGTCAGGTAACCCACTCTACCTTCTTGACCTACCCCTCATCCTTTTCTCTCAAATATTGACTGCAATCTCTCTTTCCTCAGGCACTCGTCGGCAACTCCGATTGGAAGATGATTCCGAAGAAACGTAAGATGCAGGAGAAGGAGGAGACGTCGTCGAGGTCGAAAGTTCCTCTATTCAGCCAAGGTTGTAAATGTCAGAGAATCATGGTTCCCGCTTCTTCTGTACCAGCCACACTTTCTGTCCCTTCGTCTGGTCCAGCTTCTTGCACTCGCTGCCAACTTACTCGCAGCACCTCTGCCTCTGTCTTGCCATCTACCACAACCGCCGGTGGAGACGAAGAAATGTCTGATGACAGACAAGAAGAGGGTGTCAAATCTATATTACCAGAGCATGAACTAATACTGGTGGAAGAAGTATGCCGCGATGGTATACCTTTTTCTTTCAGAACCTCGCCTTTTGTTTTTCTCTGATTCGCCGTTGTTCCTGTTATTTATTGTCGCTATGTGTGCTTGCTTGTGGGAGTCTCTTTTTTTTTTTGATGTGCTGTCACGCTCCCTTCCCGTCTATGGCCGAAAGGGCAAGTCCTTGACTCTATTCTCGATCGGTCGGGCAAGCGGCTTGGCTTGAAAAGTCAACTCCAACAATTTCTTTGTTCTCAACACTTGATGTTAATTAATCAAAGATCTTTTGCAAGAGGGTTGGCTAGAGGTAGTTAGCCGTTACGCTACGGGATTAATCCTATCCCTAGCCCACTGTCTTCAGGTAAATTCGATCGATCAGATGCAGAAACCAAGGCAAGGTCGGATGGTTGTCCCTGATTCTCAACAGAATCCGATAGACAAGAAAGAATCGAAGTCCCATTGTCTTATTAATTTCATTGGATGCCTTTCTCCCCTATCCCAATCCCTAGCTAGCTGCAATCCAAACCTCACCTATTTGGGGATCTTCTCCTCCTACTCTTTCAGTTCAAGGAAGACATCTAATATTAAAGAGAAAGAGGCCTGAGAAGCATTCTACCGGCCAAGGTCAAAGAAGCTAATTCTGATTGAAGAAAATAGTGTAAGCCAACTCATCAAGGGAAAGGGGCACTAATGGAAGAGTCAAATGCCTCGATTTTATATATATATCCGGAACGGAAAGACATTGCATTGGAGACGGACGATTGACAGGACCGAAGCAAAAAGCCCACATACATGTACCAAGGTTTGTCAAAGCATAGTGCCTACTCAAGGTATATACACTGCTCTAAGATTAGGTAGGAGTCGATTTCCGAAAAGAGCTTGGAGACTGACCTAGCTGCAACAGATATTGTTCAGGTCTTACCTGAGAGAGAATATTGTAACGGCACTGGTTGAACCTGCTGTTTAGCCTGAGGCTCTTTGAAGTTGCTGCGGTTGAAGTGGAGTCTGCTCCGAAAGGGTCTACTTTTCTTTCTAACCGGGATAGCAGGGTTGAAGCCCTTTGTTAGAACTGCAAAATCCATGTATTTATGTGGATGGGATTAACTTATTGGGGAGGGAAAGAGAAGCAAGCTACCTCGCATCCTTTTTTCTATTTTGACCACTACGAGTTGATGTAAGGGGGAACCCTCTTTGAACTAGGTGCCCTCGAAGGATATGATTCTAACTGTCGATTAGCAGGGCTGCAGGCACGAATTCGTATTAGGAACGCATGGCTAGATCGATCGGTCGGTCTTCTTTGTAAGGAAGGGCTACGACAATTCCACTTATCACGCCTCTCTTTTACTGCCGCTCGGGCGCACACTAGACGAACTGAAGAATCTAATTACTGATTTTTGAGAAAAACCCTTAAGCCAGTACCGACAGGGTGGTGAGAGTGAATCTATCTGACCCGAGTTTCACGGAGTTGTGCCAGCTTTACGTCGAGATCTTCCTATCCTAGTTCTCCATACATAAAGTGACTGGTTCTTCCTTTAGCCTTTTGGATATCTTTCTCGATGATCAACCAAGTTGAAATACAGATCTCATCACACCACTTGTAGTAACCCTTCGGCAGGTTGGCAGAGTTGCTTTCAGGTGCGGGAAAGTTAGGGGAACCTAGTTAACCAACGGCATTTCCTTATCATAGTTGGTGGATGTCTCGGTTGAGGCGGAGGATCCCTATAGACCGAACCCAGAATCCAATTTGACCCTTGGACCGGAGGATTCGAGCAGCTTTCATTCTCTTTCTCCCAACGAGTTAGCAGACTCAATTGATTGAGAAGTATTACTTAAATGGAAATCATGGCCCTTGACGAAAACGGTTTTGAAAAAGAGTTTAACGACAGAACTAGAATACCCGTAATGCTAGTAGTATTCCCTTACTGAACGGAAGGAACGGTTCCCCTACTCGCTTCCTAATGAACTCCGGAACGAAGGCACAGATTCTATACCAAGTCTTTCCTATTCTTTCTCAGGAGCTGCACATTCATATGACTCTATAAGAGCTCTTGAGAGCGCCTAGCATCCGCTACAGGAAGAGAAAGAGAAAAGAAAGCGATAGGCCCCTGCTTCTATTTCTATTAGTTCAAGCGCAATCACAAAGAAGGTAAGAATAGGAAAAAAAGGAATCCGCTGCTATGGAATCTGCTGTTATAAAGGTTCAGAGGCTTCCTGTCCCCAGAGGGTGTAAGTCGTCCTTCTCTTACTGTTGAAGAAAGCGAGGAGAGTACTAAACTGATATAAGACTCCTACTTTTGGCTCTATATTTTGGGGCACCTTTTAGGTTCTGTAGAAAGTGAATTCCTAGGGGATCAGATGACTTTCCAATTCCAAGAGTGCCCTACGTGGAATCGGCCGATAAAAGAAACCTTTGCGCAAAGAGAAAGAATTCGATCTCGAAAGAAGGGTTGGTGGGCTCTTTGTTTATGTTTAAGCCTCCCTATCATTTAAAGGCAGATAGCGGAAAGGCGAGCGGCTATAGCTTCATTCTTCATCTTCCTCTCGCTACCGGATGAGTTCACTCTACCCGCGCTGGATGGGATTGGATTCAATCCACCCTTAGGCCTTGGAGGAGCATATATTGAGATAGGATTGGAATGCTCCGCCGGGTTGCATTAGGAGAATAGGTAGGCCAGCGGCACATCATTAGGAATGGATGAAATCAACGGATTCCCCCTCCTGGCTGGGTGAGTGGAAGACATTGAGAAGGGCTTCACATCCCTTGCAGGGCTTTGAGGTTGATTGAAAGTAGCGCTCCGAGGATTCCTGGAAAAACAGAACGCCTTGAGGCGGAGGATTGTACTTGGAAATGGAAGGTCCCCCTCACACTCTACTCTATTTAGAATTAGGGGCTTGCCTCTTTCTTTCTTTCTTTCTCTACTGCCTGTGTCTATCTCCTGTCAAGTGTGCTCCCTGCCACGCTACTCTCACAAGAACTGTAACTGTGTGACTAACAACAATACCAGTTCGTGCATTAGTGGTTCAAGTGCAGTGCCCAGAAACGGTTCAAAGATCTATGGCGACATCAATTTCCCAAGAGATCTATGGGAGGGAAGTATATTCCAAATAATCATCAAGTCAGTTAAGTGGCCTTAGTTTCATAACCTAAAGCACCAGTCTTCTTATCAACAACAGAAGCAAGCAATCCTATGAGAGTTTCTTGGGTTCTCATCTATAATTGACTTGGTTGGGTATGTATACTTAGGATTCTCTCTGGAGACATGGCTCTCGTATGTCCACAGCGTTACAACTCTCGTTTTGCTTCGCATCAAAGAACTGGTATTATGCATTAATCTTCCAAGCTTCTCAATGGTTTTTTATTAATTAACATTTACACTGGGGCTACCCATCATATGACGAGCAATCCGGCAGCATTTGTCTCATCCTCGCCGTACCAAGGCAAAAGTGTCGTCTTCACCGGTGACCCCACCCTACTCTCTATTTCAGACATTGGTAGATCTCTTTCTTTATCATTTCGTTCTGGCAATGTTCTTCATCTCAATGATGCTATGTTGGTTCCTAAAGTCAGCCTCTCAAAAAATGGGATCGGTTGGACAACTTTGTGATGATCGCCAAAGCTATCCCATCTTGACTCCGACTTCCTCTGTGTAAGGATCTACACACGCATAATGTCATAGCTCTAGGGTGCCGCCCCAACCCATATATGCTTTATACCTTCATGCATCATTCTCCTCTTCTTTCTTTGTGGTTTCTTCATAACAAAGAGTTTCCTGATCTTTGGCAACTAAGGGCAACTATAGGTCTGATTGTTGGTTGTTAGGTCTTCGACTACATTGAAGAAACTATCACGCCTGAAATTGCTTCCTGCATTTGCTAGTTCTTCATTCTCTTCTTGGTTTAGCAGCCAGCTGGCCAAACACGGGCAAGACCTACTCCAATCTTCTTCTTGTTTCAATTCCCTCTACCCTTTTGCATTCTGATGTATGGGGCCCCTCGTGCCTTCTCTCTCTGGTTATCGCATTCCTTTCTTACTTAGAACTAATTCATAGGGGTTGTTAGTTTGAAGCTCGTTTATGGATGATGGATGTATTTCGTTATAAAAAAAGAATGAATTAAGCACAAACCTTACTATTACTAGATAGGGGTCAGTGCTTTTCGGCTTTTTTTGTTAAAGCTAAGGTTGCAAATGGATTCTTTTGTCATCGGATTCCAGTTTTGGACTAAGATGGGGGAGTCTCATCAGCTTTCTCTCAGTTTACAGCCACTCATGGAATTGATTATCAGTTCTCCTGCCCATATACCTATAAAATGGGGTTGCATAAAGGAAAGGAAGCATAGACACATATCATGGATACGGCTCTTGCTCTGATCTTTGACAGCCGTATCCCCCCCTATCTAGTAAGGTAAGTGGCCCTATGTTAGTTGGGGGCCTTTTCTTTCCATCCTTTTCCACCTAATTATGCTTTCTCATCAACCGCCTTCCTCTGTGCTTGGCAATATTACTCGAGATCTGTGTCTGTTTGGATCGCCACCTGATTATGAAAGTCTTATACTGATTTTTGATGCTATACTCATATACTTGCCCAAGTACGTCAGATGCACCTCGTGCAGCAAACTTCTGTTTCTTAAAGGGGCATGCCTGGGCTCAGAAAGGCTTTCGATGTTTTGATCCTTCTTCTCGTTCTCGCCGTCCCTCTTTCTTACCTTCCATGAGCACGAGTTCTGCTATTCCCCCTGATTTTAGGCCTATTGGATCAGCATCTTCTGGATCTTCTTCACCAGTGGTTTTTCCTGCGCCTCCCGTGCGGGGAGTCAGAGTCCGAAGGGTCGCAGCCCTCTATTGAGCAGCCAGCACTTGCACCTCGCTCTTCTAATAATCTAATCAATTAAGCCAGCATCTTTCTCATCTTCTAGTAACGACCAGTTGCCTACGGATTCCCCTTCATCCTCTATCGCAGCGGAGCCATCTCCATCTCGACCCTTGAATGGGTTTCCCCGACCAGCAAAGGAAAAGTTCTTTCCCTAAATCGGGCCCGGGACATTCAACAATGTGACTGACCCCTATGTTATACCCTTTATCTATCCCCCAAAAAAGGCCCGGATCCCCTATTTCTTTTTTGATAGGAAAGCCCGCCCCGAGGAAAAATCTGTGTCCAGGAAGGCTATGTAAATTAGGGTCTTTAAGCCCTCACCCAGCACCTATGAGTTCAATCAACATACGTTTCAAAAAGCATTTTGAAGCCATATAGCCATTTCAGCCTGACTCCCCATTTTCTCTTAAATAAAGCTATGAAAAAACGGGAGTAATGTGGAATGACTCTATTCCTGTGAGCTGTAGAGTTAGTTATCCCTTATCATCCCTAGTATTCCATTCCTCCTCTCTATGAGATGTGGGATCGACCCCGCTCTTTCTACATCCTTTTGTATGATAAGGCATGCATATCTATCTTTTATCCAGCCTTTGCTCCACTATCAACTACCGGAATGGTTATTTTGCCTGCACCGCTTTCCTCTCCCTCGGCAAGAGCTCGTTCGCCAAGTCTGAACTCCCACTTTCTCGTCTATGACGGCTCTCTTCGATGCTAGCAACCGCGTTTGACCCTTTGTCTGCGCTTCTTTCAATTTCCTTACATTCTCTCTTCAAGAGAGACTTGACCTTTACTTAGAGAGGGGCTGCGGTACCACACTCTTTCATGCTCGTAGGTTGACTTCCCTATGCATCCCGACTAAGGTCTCACAAACGTGCACTTCCCTTATGCATCCAGCCGCTTCACTAACTAATGTGAATAGGTTATAAGGGTGGGTTGGTTATATACTCTTCTGCGCGTTCCTTCTTCGAACCTTTTAGTATGTATTGCCCCCTAAAGATCAGATCCACCGGACGAGAAACTCAATTCTGCACTGCAGCTGAGTCGTCGGACTTATCCACCAAGGGATTCCTTGAATTTCTGTGGATTGCGTTGGAGGAAATCTACCAAAGCTAGGCAGATAGATGGACTCCTTCCCCGCTGCTAAGGGAGAGCAAGAAAATCAGGAAGAAGAATGTAATCAGCGCCCCCTTTCTTTTGGGTATGCAGGTACTAAGAGTCCTCTCACTACCAACCAGCGGACATCATCTGTCTGGGTCTTGGCCGGTATCAACAACAAGAAAAAAAACAAGCAAATGGAAACAGCAACTAACTATGGCTCTTGGCCCAGACAATGTCCTAGGCGTAGGGGAGATCGGAGCAAGAGGGAACGCCTAGACGACGTTTTTCTTCCTGGGCAGCTGTAAGTAGATCGAGAGGTCCTTCTGCCCCTTGTCCCCGAATAAGGGTCATATGTTCTCATAAAAGGTTGCTCCAATCTGACCTAGCTGGCGAGCGATCCCAGTTCGCAGCAGAGAACAAGACAGGAAGCGAGCGTACCTTTGTTCGCTTCTTCTCCACCAAGCACGGAAGTTTAAGGATAACTGTAGGTCGGTGGCTACCTAAGGAAACTCCGATTCGATCCGCCCCCCGGCTGGGAGGCATCTACCTCATCCCGATCACAAGGAGAGGTTCACCATGATGGGGGTACTTCTTTTTTGTTCCCTTCCGGAAAGAATGAAATGCATAGGGGACCATCCTTTTGTTGATGCATGCTCCTGAGATTGACGGATTCGCAGGGGGCCTCAGGCCCTACTTAGTTGACTGACAATGACAAAGGCTTACGAAACTAAGTAGGATCTTTTGAATTGAATCTGAAGTAGTCTATCAGTGGTGCGAAGCTGCTTTGCTCCTTTTCAGTAGGGGAGCGAAAGGTTAGACCTTAGAAAGTCAACGAACAGCGGTTCTTCTATGTAGGTATGGCGTTCCCCCTTGACTCTCCTAACAGCTAAGTGACTTCGTAACCTTTGCGTAGCGTAGTAGAATGAAGGCTACGCACCGACGCTCTCTTATCTATTAGCCTAAGCGTCTTCGCTAACTCGCTCGCCTACTATACAATAACAATACAATTAGTAGGGTATAGTAGGCTAACTCTGCCGCTGACTTCTATTAATCTAATGTAGGGCTAAGTAGCGCCTTTTCCTTTAGGTCCAACGTGGCGTTGACAAAGAAGAATAGACGGTGAAAAGACAACGAATCTTTTCCTCTTGATCTGAGGTACGAAGAGAAAGATCTCTTTTTTATGACTTCCACTTATCGATCCCGGCCCGGAAAAGTGACCGACCAGGACCCTATTGATGAATGAAAGAAAGGGTTTATGAGCCCTAGCCCTGTAAGCCCACACCTGTGTAGAGTAGATCGTTCAACACCTGCGGCACAAACCCATTTTTGACCTATTGGTCCTAGTATCATAGGCGACCGAACGGCCGCCCCCTAATTACTAGACCAACCCGCGATAATAATTCCATAAACACCTAGCGAAGATATGGCAAACAAATAAAGTAGCCCTATGTTCGGATCTGACAATACCATACCATAATCAAAAGGTACAACGGCCCGAGCGACCAGACTTAACATAAATGTAGCCACTGGAGCCATTCTAAAAAGGGAGAAATTAGCACTACTTGGTGAAAGAGGTTCTTTTATCATCAATTTCAAACCATCTGCTAGAGGTTGTAACAATCCGAACGATCCCACTACATCAGGACCCTTTCGACGTTGCACAAAAGCCATTACTTTACGTTCAGCTAGCACTAAAAAGGCTACTCCTAGTAGAAGTGGTATAATTATTCCTAGTATTTCAGCTGGAACTGCTATGTACGTTTTCGATTTTCTATTCACTCTAGATCTGGCCTGGTCGACCCGATCATGATATTTCACTCTAGATCTGGCCTGGGCGACCCAATCATGATATTAATGGATCGGACCTTTTCTCGAAAAACACCGGATCCCGAGAAGAGTTGAAGATGGTGCAAGATCGAATCCTCTTACCTTACTTCGAATGGAAGCTTAGCCCGCCTCACTTGCTTTCTTTACTGCATAAGGGCATAAACGAAGTCAACGGATTTCCTTCTAACTAGCGGCTGAGAGTAAGCAAGCTACCTTCATTCAACAGATTTGTGGTTGAGTCAATAACATGCTCTGGGTCGGGAATCTTTTCTCTTCTCTTTTGCATTTCCGCTGCCTGCGTTCTTTTTTGTGTCCGTCCGTATCGCAAAGCTGGTCGATGCCTACTGTAATGGTTGAAAATAGGGGGCCAACCAAGACCCCCTAATAAAGCTTCGATAAAGCAAACGATTCGTTCCGACAACTTCGGACCAGATTCACCCCTTTGAATTAGCCGATCTTACAAAATAGATCGGGCGGGCTGGTTGGGAAGGGGTTCTTAGTGGAGAAAAGAATCGCTGAGAGATAGATTCGACTATTTGGTCAGGACGAATGAGTGGCTGTGCAGCATGCTCCGGAGGAGATTGACCCTGAGAGTCAGTCCAGTCAGAAAGGGGAGGGCCCGCTGTCTAGACTGCATTTCGGGAGTTTGAACACCATCCCATTTCAACCAAAAAGACAACCCTGTCAAAGGTATCTAACCTTCCTTCCTTATGAGTGGAAATCCAATTCCGTTTTGTCTTTTTTGCATAAAAACCACCGGTAATAAATATATATTAATGAATTTGGAAACCCGTTCTTCCGACCATTTTAGAAAAGCGCATACTTTCTCCTCAAAAAATGACCTCTCCCGTCAGGGAGCCCATTAGATATTTACCTAAACCGGTAGGTAGGTCCTTGAGCAGATCCCACGTTAGCCCCAAGACGAGTAAATGCTTGAGCTTAAGTTAGAAGGGCCTCCTCCCCCGCAGGTATTTTGACTGTATCGTGTTTACCGGGGGGGACCCTCGATCCG